AAAGTGGTGTCTATTTACTTGTGACCACGCTGTGTAGATATTAAATATAATAATCCGTAAGTAAATATACATATATAAACTGATTCATTTATTCACCTAATAATCATCGATAACTTCTGGCCAAAACAAAAACCGACAAAATTTAAAGCTAAAAATGAATCTATTAAATGATATAGCTAATTCATTTATCTGTATACGACGTCAGTAAAAGAAAACGTGTAATCAATAGAATGCATTGGTTCATCAGTTGGGTGCACTCTCTGTTAGCTATATTTTTGGCCAAAATCCTAGTAATATTTCGCAAGGTTTGGCTATCTTGGGAGATGTAGGTTGATCCTGAATCCGTGGGCCGACTGCAGCAAATAGTTAGCGTACCGGACTGTGGATTTGCGGATCCATCATTCGTTTCCTGTTATCGAAAAATAAGATCGTACTTCAATGGTCAAATCCCACTACTTTTTTTAATTCAGTGAAGAGCAGAATAAGAATTGATGTTGGGTGATGTTAACTAGCTGGTTTCTCTGTATTCAATCAGTACCGTTTCTTTATTTTCGCTATTGGTCACTGGAATATATCAAAGTTGTGGTCATATGTAGAACTCTGTAATAGAGGAATTATATAGTGTATTTTAAACGATTTTACCATAATATTAGTCTAAACTATTTTTTTCCTTTCTTCCGGTTTTCAGTAGTTTCTTCTCTCTTGGTTTTTTGTACGACAGTGTTTGAAAAGCATTGCCATTTCTTTTTTTTTTACAAGGTATTGTCGAAGTTTTGTACTCATAAACTTAATCTGTAAATCCACCTTGAAACAATTAGTGATGAAATGTATCTCACGCACAGCACTGTTTTTACCAAAAAGAAATGTCTTCATGGTGTCCCCGTTCCTAAATTATGTAGCCATTCCTTTGTTATGGTGGTTAAGGTGCTTGACTCATAATCTGAGGGACGTGGGACTGAATCTCCGTCCTACCAAACATACTCATCCTTTCAGCTGTGGAGGCGTTATAATGTTACAGTCAATCCCACTATTCGTTGGAAAAGAGTAGCCTAAGAGTCGGCGGTGGGTGCCTTCTCTCTAAATTAGAGACGGGTAGCGCAAATAGCCCTCTTGTAGCTTTGTGCGAAATTCAAAATAAACCAAACCAAAGCCCTTGTTATTTCCATTTCTTCTGGAATGTTTTTGGAATACGACTGAAGTTTGAGGACTTAGTGAAAATGTAATCCCTTGTTATTTTGCTTGTTGTTATTAGAACCGTACACCACACGCTTGGCCATATATCTTAGGAGATGTTTAACTGTGAAATAAACGGGTCTCTACAAAGGTAAGATCATAGGTAGAGACAATCTAAATCAGACTCCTAAGAAATTGTCAGTAACTATAAACTACAATTAATAGCTCCCTCTTAAGTTTAAATAATACAGCGAATCCGCTAAAATCTAGTAAAATGCAGGTGGATCAAGAAAAACACAAACAATGAAAACGAATAATCCTAAAGAGGACCTTTGATACTCTACATGAATTCACCTCGACCACTGTGCTACATTGTGGATGCATGTATATATAACCATATTTAGAGTAAATATCTATAAACATATATAAGATATTAGAAGCCCACTTTTGTAATAGGAATTCATTTTTTTCTACTTGACATTTGATCCATTATGTGCGTGTATATATCAAAATGCAGCGAGAGCAAGTTAAAATAAAAAACAGAATAAGGGAGTTAAATGCAAGATGAGAATTAAAAATGTTTGGCTGTGAAGGCAGGTATAATGAAAAATAGAGGGCTGGTTTAACTAAAGTAAGCATGTAAGGTCAGTTCGCTACACGATATTTTCAAAAGGGGTGTGTGTGTGTGAGACAACGAGGTAGGGTGAGATAAGTGGTACAGGCAGTAAATCGCTTGTGTAATATATAATAACAACTATGTGCCCCCAGTGGCACAGCGGCAGGTCTACGGACTTACAACGCTAGAAACTGAGTTTCGATACCATTGTATAGCCTTGTGCTTAACTTTAAACAAACAAACAGACAACTATGTTTTCGTGAAGATAAGAAGGAGAAGTATAAAAATACAGTATTATCAAAAACCCAATTACTGTACTTTAATGTATATTTTCTATAAAAATACAGTATTATTAAAATTTGAGAAACCCAATTACTGTACTTTAATGTATATTTTCTATAAAAATACAGTACTATTAAAGTTTGAAAAACCCAATTACTGTACTTTAATGTATATTTTCTATAAAAATACAGTACTATTAAAGTTGAAAAACCCAATTACTGTACTTTAATGTATATTTTCTATAAAAATACAGTACTATTAAAATATGAAAAACCCAATTACTGTACTTTAATGTATATTTTCTTATTACACAATTGTTCAGAATTACTTGTAATGTAGGGATAAATTATATTTTGTATTTTTGTTTCAATTTTACTGACAAAATGTTTGACACATTAATTTGAAATTATTTTACCTATAAATTGTGTTACGTCTGCTTGACTTACATTTTTTATAGTAAATCATCATTACTACAAATATTAAACTCAGAAGATTCTCCTCAGATATCTATCTTAAATTTCCGCAGATTTTTGCATATTTTTCAGCAAATTTATACTGCTTCTACAGCAGCGAAAGCAGAAATCTATAAAAAAAAGGAAAAAGTGAATGATAAGCCATATTTATGAAATATTGCTATAATTTTCACTGACAATGGTGCATTGTGATAGTATATGAGGCTGTTTTTAGCCATTTTAAATAGTTTTTATACTTATGTGGGTGCAATCGCACCCACTGCACCTCCTCCTACCTACGCGGATGCTCTAATCATAAAATTCTGCAGAACATAGTAAAGCACATGAGCATAGAACCATAAAACCAACCATATGCGCGTATCTTTCTGTATGCTTGTACATCCCAGCAGACAAGATGGAGGGGGAAAATGAATGGAAAGTTGCAGCATCAACTATGCGAAGAGAAGTATTAATATTTTATTAGGGAATTTTTAAACTATGTTAGGTACTCTGTATCGATGTCTTAGCATCAATTTAATGTATTTAGTTGCTGTTGTGTCAACCCTATAATTCTAATTTAAAGCCCCAGTAAAATTTAATATATCTATAAGAATTTGAAGAAACTATATAAATGACCGATAGCTTCAACAAAACGTGTGCCAGTTGGAATTTCTGAAAAAACAAAACATTATAGAATAAACTTGATCCGTATTTATGTATGGTTCAATTATATACGACATCATTATTTCATAATTTAACTCAAAATGATTTAGATTAGGTAAAATCATTTCACATGAGAAACTCAGACAACTGAAGCATCTTCAGCGAACTTAAAGTCTTTGCATTTGTCGTTACATTTTATAAACAACGTGAGAAAATCTGGAGACATTAAGCAATTTGCTTAACTTCTATGGATTACATGACATTTATAAGAATTGGTCTTTCTTCGTAAAACTGGGTAGTTGGATGTAAAGCTCCTGATTTCTATTTAAGAGAAGAACGTGTGGACAATGTATCTTGCCATAATTTAAGTACAAGTAATGGCATTCCTCACTATTCATTGCTGTATAAGAGGTTAAAATAGTAAACACGTCGAAAGAAGACAAGGGTTCTGTAGATAAAGAGTCTGTTTTGGTAGTGAACACTAGAGACGATTTCTTTTGTCTTTAGTTCCAAAACATTTTGAGTGATTTATCAAAATATATTATAATCGTAAGATAGACTGCATGGACACAAAAACAAGAACGATTCATTTATAACTTAAGATTTAATTCCGAAAATTTCTTTGAATTCTAAAATTATTTAAGGCCAGTTATTGATGCATACCTTTTTCTAGCTCCTGGATTTAACATCATCATCGCCGTTTAGTAGCTGGATTATTCTCACGGTTGACAGCGAGAAGTCACCTGGACACACCGTTAGTGCCATGAACCATGACAAGAAAGAACCTTATTACACAGCTATTGCTCGTTACTTTCTTTTAACCATATACAGATGCAAAGACTGTCAATTTAGAGCTGCGTTTTTCCCATTAGATTATCTAAATGGTAAGTAATTTCTTTGTGGTAGAAGTATTTAGAACTGAATATCTGAGGTGTATCATTCAGTGACGCGTCCTCCCAAACTTTTCACTATATCCAATCATTACTGCCCCAATCCTCTCTCCACTACTGCCTCCAGCGGTAAGTCTGCAGGCTTACAATACTAAAAACTGGGTTTTGAAAACCGTGATTGGCATAACACAGATAACCCTCTACGTAGATTTATGCTTAACAACATCCAATCCAATCATTATTTTCTATTAATTATAGTCTTCATAAGATAGCTTCTCGGTTCCAATTAGTTAAGTCAGGAATGCATGTGTCATCATATTGAAGAAATCTTTAAAACAAAAAAAGGAAAATGGCCCACAGTAGTAAGGGCCCCAGTTTACAGGCGGAAGTTCACATGCTCATCAAAGATGACTAGGTCAAAGTTCTAATTTTTGTGGCCAGAGGGCACGACATATGTGTATGTGTGTGTCGTAATAAAAGATGACGAGGCCATAGTTTCAAAAGTTGCCACCAGAGAGCGAGTCGTTAGGGGCACGTTCCTAGGTCGCTGTGAAAGCGGGCGATGACGTCATAGTTCAACAAAGTGTCACCAGAGGGCGCAACTAACTTATGGATGGCTGAAATTATAGTTTGATACCAGACAGGCGGCTATAATGGATGATAAACTAATAGTACCACAACGTGGAGAATGTGTTTCTAGTTTGCCATGACTCATACACTACATGTCTCACCATGTCGATAATTAATCATTAATTAATTAAATCATTCTGAAAAGAACACTTAACTCTAATTCATTAAATCATTTATAATTAATGAATTAAATCATTTATAATTAATTCATCTTTAAAAGGACACTTAACACTAATTAATTAGTTAATTAGTGAACATTAATTTATTAATAATTATATCATCCTACCACAAAGTATAGAGCGTGTTTCTAGGCAGCCATGACTCATACAATACATGTCTCAACAAGAATATAATTAACTATTAATTAATTAAATGATTTATAATTTACTTTATCTCATGTTTTACAAAGGCGGACTTTCACATATACTTAATTACCATTATTACCATAGGGTTTTAACACATATACTGTGACAGTACTTCTACAAGTTGTCAACAACATTATTTAACGTAATATGTTTGAATAAGATTACAACTTACATTTTACTACATATGATTAATTACTATTATAGAATAACAACACTTACCTTAAATCTTTGAGAACCACATTAGTGAAGTAACTTGTTCAAAAACAGTTTATATTTGCGATCTGTGATATTTGCGTCAATGAAAGCATACAATCAAGAAACACATATACAAATTTCTACATGTTGTTTCTATTATACGACTAACAAACTGGTACCTGATGTCAAACCTTGATACTGTTTAACATTACTTTCCACACATATAAAGAGTTATTGTAAGCTTTTTAACTCAATACAGCTTACCAAGTCTGATTCGTTGAAGATCACTGACCATCTGCTTAGAATGACAAAGGTCAGTTCTGAGTTGACCAAGTCTACGTGGTTTGCGAAATAAGTACTGTGTTGAAATGTAGAAGTAGAGCAGAGTTTGAAGAAATATAAGTAAAGCGTGACAGTTCGAAGAGTTTGCTGTTCAAGGCTACTGACAGGCATAGGATTAGAATGGCAAAGGTCAGTTCTGAGTTGACCAAGTCTACGTGGTTTGCGAAATAAGTACTGTGTTGAAATGTAGACGTAGAGCAGAGTTTGAAGAAATATAAGTAAAGCGTGACAGTTCGAAGAGTTTGCTGTTCAAGGCTACTGACAGGCATAGGATTAGAATGGCAAATTCTATTTTGCAATAACTGGCTAGCTAGTCCAAGGAGCAAGTGATTAAAGTTTTGATAACAATTCAGTGTTTGTAACAAAAACGCCAGTTACTCTAATTAATATTCACTTTACACGAGTAATCAAAGTTTCTTTATTTTAGAAATTATACAAAACATTTAAAAACTAAATCAGCCATGCACTTTACGTACAGTTTAAACCGACCTTCAATATACAAATCAAGACTTGTAAAGTGACACACATTCGGGAATATTTAAATGTTTACTCATATGATGGTGTAAATAAAACAAATCTATTAGACACATATAGACAGGAAACGCGCCAAAAAACAAGTATTTCGATCGTTTATACAAAACGGACAAACAACCTAGAAATTTTATTTCAAGTTTCTTATGATGAAATATAATACACACCTTTTCTTTCACGTTTTATAAATCCAATATATTTACAATCCAAATAAGTTGTTATGTCCATTATTCTCAGTTTCGTTTAAATATAACACGAAAAGTTAGATATATAGTCTTAACTTCTCGAAGGTGCAATCATTTAAGAGCATAAAGAAATATCGATATCGTCCGTCTTGCAACTTGGACACATTTTATCTGACGGCATAATATCCTCAAATATGTATGGATTAAATTAGTTTTCCTACAAGTTAGTGTACAATACTTGTTATACTTTTATGGTTATAAGAAAAATTACTAAATTTCACTGTAGTAATATCCTTAAGTTACTCTTACGTAAGTTTTATATTAAAGAATAAAAGGTAACGAGAAGGGAGACAATTTTACAACAGCTTTCTGATCACCGATGTTTTTTAACAGTAAAATGGTGTACGTATTGACACCGAGATAACAGAAGTTTCCCCTTGTACAGACCTACAAGCATATGATGACTTTCTTAACATAAAAGTCTATCAATAGATTCATTGGACGGGAATCGAAGTTTAATAATGAACAATAGAACAATGGTAACAACAACGAACATTTGACACGTGTATGTTCAGTAACAAACATTTAATTCTTGAACGTTTCGGAATATACATATTTCATCTTCAGCAAGCTATATTGAACATGGTAAATTATTAGGTACAGACATTTTATTAAGTTTAAACATTCTATAAAAAGTAATTAAAATACAGAATAAAAGTATGAAATAAATTAAGAGACAATCAAATAAACAGAGAATAATACAACAATATTACACAAGTATTTAGAAAAGACTTAATTGTAGTGAAGTTGTGTTATCATTTAAAGTTGGGAGTTCATTTATAATAGATAAACTTTCTTTATTAAAAGTTTAATATTAAATGATCCAGATGAGATGACTTTGAAATTCATAATCAAGACGGGGTGGTTGGTGTTTTCACTATGTTTGTGCAGCTTGTGGAGTTTTCCAAGTTCTTAAATATTTGTTTTTAAAATAAATATTAATATTTGTTACAAATTTTCAATTCAAATAACCTCTACATTCATTTTTTTATAATTAGAGTTTATCCGACTTTGGCTCGCATGGCCTTGTGGTTAGGGCGCTCCACTCGTACTCTACTACTCGCGGTTTCCAATTTTCTGCGCCCTTGCAGTCGTGAGGAGTTATAAAATTATGGTCAATTTCACTATTCGTTGGTAAAAAAAGGAGCCCAACAACTAGCGGTGGGTGGTATTAACTGCCTAAATTAGGGACGGCTAGTGCAGACGCCCCTCGCGTAGCTTTGCGCAAAATTCATAAACAAATTTCCGAGTTTTTACTTATATAAAGTATACGTAATCTTAAGTATTTGTATAATAAGTGTTTATAACTTAGCTCCCTACTGTAATTTTGTAATTACACCAATGCAAGACGTAAAATTTGTAAGTGGAAAACCAGCCTGTAAGAAGAAAACTTATAACAAGCTTATTTGTACTTGCGTATGTTTTTTCTTTATTCTCTTTCGCTTATTAGGTTGTAAATTACCTTTTAGAATTATAAGTATTTTCTCCTACTAATAAAAAAGATTAAGATTTTAAAATCAGACATTGTTTATTTATTGTATTTATAGCTCATTCTCAAGTACGAGTACACTTCAATGGTTTATTTATTGTATTTATAGCTCATTATCAAGTGCGAGTACACTTCAATGGTTTATTTATTGTATTTATAGCTCATTTCAAGTACGAGTACACTTCAATGGTTTATTTATTGTATTTATAGTTCATTATCAAGTGCGAGTACACTTCAATGGTTTATTTATTGTATTTATAGCTCATTATCAAGTGCGAGTACACTTCAATGGTTAAGTTCGTGATTTAGTTACCTACATATGGCATATTTATATGCTAATAAAATTGTCTTATAGTAATCTTCTTTTTTTTTGTCCTATAAAAACCTAGCTACAAAATGTAATTTTTTCTTTTGACATTTCCAGATTGTAACGCTTCCGTGAGTGCTTGGAAGGGAATTCTAACAAGTCCAAACTTTCCGGAAAACTATATGCCACGATTAGATTGCTTCTATCAAATCAGGGCGCCTCCTGGGTTCAAAATTTTTGTCTCAGTTTTAGAGTTTGACATATATGTCGCAAATGCTCAGAAAAGATGTATGCAAGATTTTGTTCGTTTCTTTCCTTTAGAGGAAAGGAAAGAAATATCCCTGTGTGGAAACTCCACTGGTGTAAGAGTTAGGAAACTACTTGTATCCAAACATGAGATCTTAACTGTACATTTTCATACTAAAAGAGTGTCTCAAGGAAAAGGGTTTCTTCTTGAATATCGTTCAATAAAACGCTGTCAAAATGTGACAATAACACAACAAAATGGGTCTTTCTGTACCCAAGACTATCCTTATGCCTTTATGAATGGGCAGAATTGTCATTATGCCTTTTATGTGCCTTTTGGATACGAAATAGTCTTAGAGTTAACCTTTCTTGAAACCTCATTGTCTGTTTTTAAAACCGGACAAGACTGTCAAGAGGAATTTATTGAAATATCCAATCCAGATCAAGTGCAAAGATTCTGTGGAGTAAAGCCTGAATATACAAATCACAACTTGCATTTTCATTCTAGTAGTTACAACATTAATATAACAGTTAATATCAACGCTATTTCGGCGTTGATTGATGAGGCAAAGGGGTTCTGTGTCAACTTCCAAGCAATTCCTTCGGCTCAAAACACATCATTCTGTGATTACCCATGGGCTGTAAAAGATAATTATTGTTATAAACTTCTAGATCAATACATGGATTGGCAATCAGCCAATAATTACTGTGGGAGTTTGGAAGGCCACTTAGCAACAGTTTCAACAGATGACATTCAGTCATTCCTAGAAACTCTGATTAAAACAAGGTTTGTATTAATTTTTTCTTACAAACTTTTCTAAAGTATAACAGTATATAAATTGATATTAATTTAGCATATAGACACTTATCATTATGTTCAGTAAAACAGAAAACCTTTAAATGATAACTAATATATTTAAATATGTTCAAGGGAAAAAAATTTTTACTTCTTATGTTCTTTCAAAAGTTAAAACCTAAAACATGTTTCTTTCAAATTTAACTGCTTAAGTACATCAACTTAATTATATATTATTGTATTAATATGCCTAGAATCATGCATAAGATAGTTACTAACAACAACAGGTTTCGTCCCTCTCGTTCTACATTATATTCATATATCTAGCCCCATGCTTAAGATAGTTACTAACAGCAACTGTTTACGTCCTTCTCGTGCTACATTATATTCATATACCTAGCTCCATGCTTAAGATAGTTACTAACAGCAACTGGTTACGCCCTTCTCGTGCTACACTATATTCATATACCTAGCTCCATGCTTAAGATAGTTACTAACAGCAACTGTTTACGTCCTTCTCGTTCTACATTATATCCCTATACCTAGCTCCATGCTTAATATAGTTACTAACAGCAACTGGTTACGCCCTTCTCGTGCTACATTATATTCATATACCTAGCTCCATGCTTAAGATAGTTACTAACAACAACTGTTTACGTCCTTCTCGTTCTACGTTATATTCATATATCTAGCCCCATACTTAAGATAGTTACTAACAACATCTGTTTACGTCCCTCTCGTTCTACGTTATATTCATACATGTAGCCCCATACTTAAGATAGTTACTAAAAACATCTGTTTACGTCCTTCTCGTTCTTCATTATATTCATATACCTAGTTCCATGCTTAAGATAGTTACTAACAACAACTAGTTACGCCCATCTTGTTCTACGTTATATTCATATGCCTAGCCTCATACTTGAGGTAGTTACTATGACTTGTAGTTACGACTGTTACATTCTAAATTATATTTATATACTTAGCTTTACCCTTAAGATAGTTACATTTGATTGTTGTAGCGACTCTCACGTTATAATCATATTTATACAGCTCGCGAAACATTCAAAATAGTTATTATCGATAGTTGTTATGATTCTCACATTCTAAATCAATATCTATATACTTAGCTAAACGTTTGAGATAACTAATATCAGGAACTGTATATATCTTTTTCAACTGCCTGGATGAAAAGTGAAATTTATTTGATGGTCACTAGACGATATTACTCGCGTATTGGGTAGTATTGTCATTATTCAACTTTACATCTCCTCTGTACTGGTAGAATCTTGTTAGTTATCAACATAGCTGACGTTTCAAGTAGAATCAGCAACGTTATCAACATAGCTGACGTTTGAACTGGAATCAGCAACGTTCCTTGGAACAAGTGTACGGAATTTTGGTTAACAGCAACAATATAGCATAGAACATTCCTCTTTTAACTAATGTGGTTATGTGTAGTGTATAATTAGACCACAATACCTTATTTACTATAAAAACTGAAATATGCGTCATATATAGGAGCACAGAGGAAATAAATATATCAGCCATCAAACATAATTTATTGTCTTTGTTTGTTGTTAAGCACAAAGCTACACAATGGGCTATCCGTGCTGTGCCCACCACGGGTATCGAAACACGATTTTTAGCGTTATAAGCCGTCAGACTTGACGCTGAGCCATAGGAGAGGTGGGAGGGTCAATTTAATGTGGAAGCCAATTGTTATGTGGCTTTCTATAAGAAACGTAGTTCAAAAGTACCGTGAATTCGAACAATAAAACTCATCTTGAAAATTATTGTACATTTCCTGATTACAGATTTTGTCGTTTTCTGGCAAATGTTGCAGGGTAAAAATATCACTTGATGTAAGGTTATCATGTTTCCACTAATCAGATAATCACTCAAATGAAGTTTATTTCGAAGAACTTCATATCAAACACTGGTTTAACGAATTATTAGAAACCAAGTAACTTTAAGATACACCGCAACAAAGATTTATATTACAAGCCAAGTAATTTTAAGATACACCGCAACAAAGGTTTATATTAGAAGCCAAGTAACTTTAAGATACACCGCAACAAAGATTTATATTAGAAGCCAAGTAATTTTAAGATACACCGCAACAATGGTTTATATTAGAAGCCAAGTAACTTTAAGATACACCGCAACAAAGGTTTATATTAGAAACCAATAACTTTAAGATACACCGCAACAAAGGTTTATATTAGAAGCCAAATAACTTTAAGATACACCGCAACAAAGGTTTATATTAGAAGCCAAATAACTTTAAGATACACCGCAACAAAGGTTTATATTAGAAGCCA